CCTGCTGAAGGGAACTGGGGAGTGGGAATGGGACCGTGAGGAAAGTCGGGGGTCCCCGGGAAGGAAAGCTGAGAGGGTGTTTGCTTTGGTCGTGCTTGGTGAGGCATCTGGTGAATAGGATCTGGCCTAGTGTTAGGTGACCAGATGGCAGTGTTGTTCGGTGGTTAAAAGGACAGGCTCTGGAGTCAGACAGTCCTGGGTTTGAGTCCTGGCTATGCCACTTAGTAGTTTGGAACATCCGTGAACTTTTTTAGCCTCTTTGTGATCCTCAGCTTCCTCATCTGTAAAATGAGGATAACAACAAATGTAGCTGACATAATCAACATTCTTTATGGCCTTTGAATAGCCCAAAGCAAGCAGAGAAAGGACTAATGGAGGTGAAGAGCAGAAATCAGTGAAATTGGAAACTATTAAGGAAAATCAGTGAAACCAAAAGCTGGTTGGAAAAAAAAATCAATAAAATGGATAAACCTCTAGCCAAACTGGCACAGCAGGCGGCATGGAGCCTAAGGTGGCTAGATCTCACATGGTGGTTGCCCAGTTGAGTCCTGAACCCGGCAGCCTGAAAATCACGCCAGGTGCGTGTACATGCATGCCCAAAATCCCAGGAGGAGAAGGGGTTGTAGCATGGCCATCCCCTCCAAGGGGGTGATTTCTCCCTTTATCTCTTGCTCTCTCTGGCAAGTGTATGTGCCCTATACCAAAGCTGAGAGAGAGAGAGAGGGCTTAAGTTACTAACATCAGAAATAAAATAGGGATAGCACTACAGACCCCACAGGCATGAAAAGGATAATGAGGGAATACTGGGAGTAACTTCGTGGACACAAATCAAATAAAACTTTTCATGAAATAGACCAATTATTTGAAAGATTCAAACTACCAAGACTCACTTAAGAAATAGATAACCTAAGCAATGCTATATACCAACTGAAGAAACTGAATTGGTAATAAAAAATTAAAAACAAAACAAAACAAAAAAACCTTTCAACCAAGAAAACTCCAGGCGGTTTCACGGGTGAATTCTACCAAATTTTTTAGACTGTTTTATTAGGTTGTTGGGAAAGTCATGAAGAAAAATACGTCATAACTTTCCTGACAACCCAATTTATATATATACTTTTTTTTTTTTTTTAAGAGAGATTTCTGCTATAGGGTATATGTGCTCGCCAGAGAGACAGAAAAAGAGAGACAGAACGTGAGAAATCACCCCCGGGGGGATCACATCGCTGGGGGGATGGCCATTCCTTTCCCTCCATTCTCCCCTGGGAATCTCGGGCACACACTCAAACACCCGGTGTGAATTTCAAGCCACCAAGTCCGGGACGCATACTGCAGTCAACTGTGGGAGTCCAGTGGCAACCATTACACTATCTGCTGGCTGCTGGCCTAACATATTTTAAATCATGTATTACATTTAAATAATTCTTAAACGTTTATTTATTTCTTCAAAGAGAGTGACAGGCACCCCAGAAAGGGTCCTCATGCTGTAATCTGCCCCTCCCTCAGCCAGGGAGGCCATGGTGCACATGCATCTGGCACGTACAGAGACCTTAGGACACTAACCCACAATCTTCCCACGTGGCCTCAGCATTGGGGGGAGCGTTCTGTCACTGCTGTGCCACCATAGCTGACCCATAAATAATCTTTTTTAAAGAATTATTTATTTATTTATGTATTTATGTATTTATTTTAATTTGACCAGAGAGGGACAGGGAGTGAGAGAGAGAGAGAGGGGGAAAGTGAGAAAGCAAGCCGCCAGGTCCAGGATTCGAACCATGGTTGGCCATGTGGGAGTCCAGCACCCTGAACCAACACACCACCTACTGGCCCCCATAAATAATATTAAAGTGACATTATTTCAATTATAAAATAGTAAAGTTAAAATACTAATATAACATGTAAACCATTATTTTTAAAAGATATAAATAATGTTTAAAGACTTATTTTATTTAACTTTATTTTATTTATTTATTTATTCATTTATTTATTTATTTTAATTTGACCAGAAAGGGATAGAGTGAGA